AAATAGAGCCTATAGGATATAATGTTTGAAGTATTTCTGTCTTTAATGTTTGAAGCTCTGTTTTGTCTGCTTTCTTATCATATAAATCTTGAGCAGTGAATTTAACTTTATTTTCATCCTCCATGACATAAACATTTCTACATCTAATGTATTTCATCGTCGTTATGTCGTCATCCGATGTTAAACCTTGTGGAAAGTTAGGAGGTTTAAAATATAATACATCCCCATCAGGTTCTTCAACCGTTCCTGCAATATTTTCTATACCAACAGTTGCGAAGAAATCGTGTGTATGTCCAACGTCACTTTTACTGTTTAAGGTTTCTTGTAAGTTTGTAATATTTGCAATGGTATGTGTATGTCCAACGTCACTTTTACTGTTTAAGGTTTCTTGTAAGTTTGTAATATTTGCAATGGTATGTGTATGTCCAACGTCACTTTTACTGTTTAAGGTTTCTTGTAAGTTTGTAATATTTGCAATGGTATGTGTATGAGTCTTTTTAGAATATTCGTTTTCAGCTCTTGTCACTTCACTTGACATTTTATTGTCAACATATGTTTTGTCTGCTAGTTCAGGATGAGTATGTTCTTTTGTTGCATAAGCTTTGTCAGCTCTTTCTTCTTCTTTTGCTATTGCATCGTCTACATATGTTTTGTCAGCTTTGTTGTCAACATCTGCTTTCAAAAGAAGTTCATTTATAGGTTTCTCGTTTAAAGTTCCTTTTGTTGGATTTATACAAACAGTATGGTTCTTCTTGTCTTGAAACAGAAACTCATCTGTCATTGGGTTTAATGTCAGTTTTAAGTTTCCTTCTTTCAATGACTCAGATATCTTAGAATAGTTTGAAAAGTTTGTTGTGTTCTTATTTAGAGCTTGTATAATGAGTTGTTGGTTGTGTTGTATTTCTCTCATAGACGCTGTTTCATTTGACATTTTTATTCTAGATAAAATATGCTTTCAATAGAAAAAGAAAATTCTAGAGTTGCTACAACTAAACCATTAGATGAACTTTTTACCAATGTCGGTCAAAAGTTTGAGACAGAGACCGTAAAGCATGAAGGCTATCGTTTTGACTACCCGTTAAGATGGTTAAGAGACCCATCCGTCACAAAAGCTATTGGCTTTCGTAGAATGAAGTTCATTTCAGAAGCCATACATGGTTTCCCATTTACAGTCGGTTTTGAAGTTCGATACTATAACAAAGAAAAACGTATGTATGAGAAATTTGAACAGGGAAAACTTTTACAAGTTAGTTTGCTTGTAAACTTAGAAACAACTCTTCAAGCTTTTCAAGAAAAAATAAACGATATCTATATCGAATATGCAAAGCAGTATAACATTGACGAAGGAGAGTACCATCTCGATATTATATATGACAGGAAAAATGCAACTGTTAAAATCAATAGAATAGAAGACCTTGGAGAAAACGTTTATATTTCTACAAAATATAACAACTTGGCATGGTATAGATTTCTGAGGATGTTAAATCAGCCTGCAGAATATCCAGTACACCCGGACTTTTATGAAGTCGAAAACCCTAATGGAACATATGAAAATGTTTTCGACTCAGATGCTATTATCGTTCATGCTTCATTTTCTGGTGCGCAAAACTCTTTTTTATGCTTGGCAAATGACTTTTACGAAAAACCTACAAAGTTATATGAACCACCGAGTGGAAGTATTTCAGACTTTCAAGTATGGTTTACAACAGATGGAAGAAAGAGAATAATTCCATTATACCATGCGTTTTACTTAGAATTAGTTTCATATACAACTACTATCGAACGGTAAAATATAATTTTTTAATACGGTTGAGGTGTTGGATTTGGTTGCCAACTTGACTGTGGTGCAGGTTCAGGCTGTTGTATAACAGGAGCTTGTTCTTCTGGTTCAGGGTCTTTAGGTATAATACCAACAAACTGACCTACTCTTTTACCAATATTTTTGACTCCGTTCCAAATTCCTCTTCCTACGGTTTTTATTCCATTCCATATACCTCTTCCAACATTTCGAAAGAAGTTTCCTATTCTTCCAAAGAAACCATTTTACTATATGTAAAAATCTAATGTCCGCCTAGTCTCTTACGTTTCCTGTTGAGTTCCATAGCATTCTTTAACTGGAGCTCATACATTCTGTTTCTCCTCTGGTAGAAAACATATTCTGGGTCAACTCCTGTGTTCGCGTCATCTGCATAAAGTTGTTTATATCCCACTTCAGGGTTTGTATAAAACTCTTTCCATCTCATATTTGCATACCATGGTGGCAAACCTAACGCAGCGTCATTTGACATGGCAGTTTGCATTTGTACATCTGTTGGCACTTGACCATAGTTTGCCATTGCAGTTTGTATTCTAACTTCATTTGGAATATTCTCTGGGTTTGGTTGTCCAGGTTGCTGTGCATTTGCTAAGTTCTGTGCGTCCATTTAATATTAGATAAAAATATCTCTTACGAGTACATATACTGGACATTTGCAGGCATTGGTTCATCTTCATATTCTCTGTACTTTTCTGCCACGTCAAAGAAATAAATGACACAATGGAAAAAACCTAAAACAAGTAGTCCTATTTCAAACCACATTTACTTACTAGTAAAATTTCTTTGTTATGACACTTTCTCCGGTTTATAGGACCTCTCTCATATTCTATCTTGTCATATCTAAACTCATAGTCATGTATGTCCTCTAACCATCTCATAACGGTTTCCAAACCACTTTTATCGGATGTAAAGTAAAAGCATGGATGGTTATGTAAAACGTCTAAAGTTTCTAAAGAGTCTCTCAAAGTCCAGTCTACTTGGTATTGAAAATCGCATGTGTTATAGAACGGCGGGTCCACTATAAAGAAAACATTTTCCTTGTCTTTATATTTTTCATACAACTCTGTCCAATGACATCTCACAAACTCTATACCCTCAATATATTTTTCTATGTCCTCTTTGAAAACATTTGTATAGTTAAGATATAAAACATTTGACATAAGTGTTTCAATGTCATGAACTCTTATAGAACCACTATATAATAGTCTAGCAGATATACTATCCCAGTCTATATATTCTGCTTTTTTCAAAACCTCTCTCACAATATTTTTCTTATCTAATGGTATACGTTCCATCTTACCTATAGGTATCTTTTCTTTTAACGCTTTCAATATATTGTTTGTGTCTGGTATATGTTTGAGACGGTCCATATAGTTGTCGAAGTCATTGCATATAATCTTTGAGTCTGGGAATATTGTATGGCACAAATGGGATATATAGAAACTTCCACCGAACAAATCTACAAATGTTAGACCATTCGGTAGTTTCTTAAGTTCTCTCAATAGAATATCTTTACATTTACTCTTATTTCCAAAGAACGGTAACGGTGGTTTTGTAAAATTCATTTATATATAATAATAAAAATGTTTTTTCCTGAAAAGTGACAGAAAAGTGACAAAACATGAAAACATCTTCAGGGCTAGAAGGGGCGCAGCCCCTGGAAGCCCCATTACCTTTTTTTTTAATTTAAAAATAGTAAAAAAATTAAACAAATCCTATTCTAATAAAACATAAATTAAAAAGTAACTTTTTTGATAAAAATTTTTCCTCAAATTAAGATTTTCATGATTTCTTACATTTCAATTTCATTGTCAATACAATGAATATTGAATATTTTAAATTAATTTCAATTATTTATATAGTATTTAATGTGATTATTCCATTTTGAATGGAATGTCGATAAATACCAGTATCCTACTTGCAGAGTTCAATTAGGCGCTCAAAAAGGCATTGACTTATATAAACAGCTTTCTTATTTTACTATTTATGCTAAATATTCATTATTAGGAAATCACTCATTAAACATCAAATTATTTTGTAGTAAATGAGGAATTTCAATGTTCCTGATTATTTCAATGCCAATTAATGCTGGTATTTAGATTTCTATCTATAAGAATTCAATTGTTACTATTGATATCATAATTCCTGATTACATTATTTAAGATAATTAGAATGCTGTATATTTTGAACTTATTATTAGTGTATTTATGCACATTCTTTAAATGATACAATTTGATCTTCTAATCTTTCCAATCAATAACATTGTTTTGTAAAATGATTTCATTATTTTTGTAATGGACTTTTTTATTGAAAAATTATATTTCTTAGCTGGAAAATCATGGGGAGAAGATGAAGTAACACTTACATCATTACTTAGAATCATATTCCAAGAGAAAAACATACCAATTTTCTTTTTAATTCAATCAATTTATATTTGCTTTATTTTCAGAACTCATACAACTCGAATGCCATGGTTTAAATCCTTATTGTTCTCGTTTTTTATGATATTTACTGGAAGAGAATTAGCTGCATTTGCATGCTTCTTACCATCTCCATTGATCGAACACGTAATATATTTTCCTATCTTCCTTATCATATGGTTCATGATTAACTCATCACCATATGATATTGCCTATAAATTTCTCAATAATAATTTTGTATATTCAACAATGCACTTGGTTTATTCGATAGTTCAAATAGCACATATTTATATAGGGATTAAAATAGGTAAAACAAAATATGATACGATTATCACAGGTTTAGCTTTTGTTTCAACAATTTATTCTTCATCAGAATCACTAATTTTTATCATGACACATCACAGATCAAGAAATTTCTCATCAATTACCCTCATTAAGCACTTTTTCATCGCAATTTTATTAGCTTATCAAATAAATTACTCATTAGTTAATTATCCGACAGAAATTATTTTAGGAATAGTTTCACTATTCAATTTGCTACTTTCTGCTATTAATATTTTCATTTACGGCTTAAGATCCGAAAAATCAATCGATATAACTTTAATAACATACATATTAGGCCTTTTACCATATAATGGATCAAAAGATCCACTTAGATTTTAATGTTTTCTTGTTTGTTATCTATTAAATAAAGAAAAAACTTAGTTATTAACATTAAGGCAATTTTTAAATTAAAACATTAACACTATTGTATAGACTTAAGATCAGAATGTCAAACTTACTGATTGATTTGACTTTAATTCTAATTTCGTTGAAAAATTTTCAGGTACAACAAAGTTTTCAAACGGATCGTAACCAACGAAATCATCAAATGGATCTGGACCCAATTGTGGTTCTTCTTCTGCATTCTGATGCTCATCATTAACATTCTTTGGAGATTCTTGAGATTGTGGTTGAGATTCTGGTTTTTGGACTTCATCATCTGAATTATCCATCCAAATTAGTCCGCCATCGTTTGTAGGTTGGGATGGTTTTGGTTCTTCCGAAATTGGCTTAACAAATGTCATATGTGTAGCGACATTGAATGCTTCATCATTAAATTGCTTATCATTAGCGATGAAATCAAATAAACTCTGTGCACTTTGATGGATATTTTTCCTGAGAGTTGCTTTTTTGTCTTCGAATGATAGCATTGTAATTGAATGAAGTTCTGCAAGGTGTTGCCTGAGTAAGGTGTTGATTTGAGGATCTCTCAGGTTTGCTATTGATTGGAGAATATAAAGAAGCTTATTAATAGCAAATTGATGCGATGCGTTTTTATCTACTTCAGCAAATATTGTTTGGAAAACACATGCTGTATCATTTGGATTTTTTGCGTAATTAATGCATTGATCAACTAAATTTCTATCAATGGCAGTACTCCGGCCTGATGAAACTTTCGAAATCAATGCCTTTATCTGTTTCTGATTGGCTGATTTGGATTGAGAAAATGATTTATTCATCGGAAAATTGTCACTTTTTGATATATTAAAATTGTCACTTTTTGAAATATTAGAACTGCCACTTTTTGATCTATTAATTGTCACTTTTTTACTAAGGAAACCCAATTTTTTTTAGTTTTTCATGTCTAATACTGATACAAATTCTGTTCAAGACACAGATTTTGCAATTAAGAAAACAAGGACGAATCCATCAGAAGTACCTCCGCAGCCAGATGAATCTTTTGAAAATATTATTGAAGGTGCTAATGATTTAATGAATTTACCAATCCAAAATATCAGAGATGAACTAAAAAAGCGTAATTTCCATGCTGGTATTGTTGATAAGATGGATCAACGATTTTTGGTGTCAATGTTGCGAGAAGCTGTGGAAATGGATACAAATTACAATACAAATTCAAGATCTAAATATAGAATACATGGTGGAAATTCTTCTGGGCCAATTTTTTCATCAGATTCGAATCCTTCAAAAGATCCTAATTCTTCTCCAGAAGAAGACCAGAAAAACGATCAAGATGCAATTATACAAGAGTTTGATGAAGCAGAATTCGCTAAAAATGATCCAGATGAAAAACTTCCAAAATCTAGTTTAATTAATGGAAACAAGAAATCATTGCCATACTTACAACTCAGATACGCATCAAGACAGCCTGAATCTCCATGGGGACGCCTTGATAAATACGTTCCAATTGACATTCTTGAAAGTCTTCCTCTAGAAACTCAACAAAAGATACAAACTGATATTCGCAACTCAGTGAATTACGGAGAGATCATTGAAAAGTATTTAGTTTGAAATTTCCTTTTATCAAAACTATTTTGTTTGTCTTTTTGTTATATTAATAGATTGTCAATGCTTACTCTCCATATATTAGATATTGTTTCATTTGTTTTACAGAAATTAACTTCATATAACTCCAAAATTATATAATTCATAGTAATAATACCTACTTACTTTTATAGTTGCTTGAATGAGTTTTTATTTGAATAAAACATGTTATTATTTTTTTTATACGATTTTTTTTTTTAATTTCGATTTAAGTATATAGAAATCTTCTTAAGTCTCCTTTATATCTCAAATCCTCGATCGAACTTTTTTAAATGTTTGGGATTATTGAAAATTAATTTCATTTTTGAACAAATTTTAATAATATTTGAGGCATGAAGGGAACAATTTCTAAATTTCAAGAGAATGTATAAATTTCCTCCCAACAGAATGATTTTCTCTGAACAATTTAAATTTATTGGAAAATTTAGCCGAAAAACTTAAATAAAATTAAGCATTAAATAAAAAAATATTTCTATGTCAATAAAAATGGTAGTATAGTAATAAAGATAAAAAAAATTTAGTCCATTCTAGTCTTAATCTCCTTAATGATAACTTTGTCCTGTGTAATAATATAAACAATGCCACCCCAACCGGAGATGGAGTCACGCTCAACAGCAGCAATAAGGCATTTAGCTGTACATTCGAAAAGTTCGTCTGGGTTCATGTTTGGACGCCAAGCACTTTCACAGATACCGTAGAGGGATTCCTCGCAAGTACCAGCAACTGCGAAGTCCTTTGGAAAAGCAAAAGCGCCGATTGAATCAGAAGCAGCTAAATATGGTTCATTTGTTTCTGGAAGAAGGCCAGCAATAACAGGAGTAACGAAAAATGGTGAGAAGCGTTTTTCATATAAAGTTGATTTGACGAGATTCATGAACTTTTTAGGATCAATAGGTCTCTCTTCGCGAAGTTCGAGAAGGTTAACGTCAAAGCGAAGCTGCTCTCTAACAGTCAAAACATCTGTAGCAAGACCAGCAAGGCCTAAGTAAATGCGATCATTAATTTGAAAAATGCGCTTGAAATCTTTTGAAACTGTTAACATATTTACACCTAAACGGCGATCTGATGCAATAGCAACGCAGTGATCTCCAGCCATTGCTAAGACGCAGGAGCCATTATATGTGGAAATGTCGGACATTTGTGATAGATGAGGCGACCAATTTTCAGAATTATCGTCCAATCCTGTACTTTTTTAGAATTTGAAAATGAGAATTGATATATGAGTTTATGTTGATTGTAAATATTATATTTTGGAACGAAAAACGGAAAATTCTAAATTTGAAATTTTTAAAAATTGAAAATTTCATGATAACTATATGAGCAAAAATTTATGAATTTTAATATAATGCTTGTGTTTGATATTATTTTACTTATTTGTAGATTTCAAATTTTTTCATGTTTCTTTTTCTGCTTTCTGTGAAATACTATGTAAAGTTTCACGGAGCCAAAAATGGATTTTGCCATCCATACAATCCATGCAACTATAAATCGATCGAAAAATTTCTTGATCAGGATTCCGAAATTATTATTCGTGACAAACAATTATCAAGTAAACCACAATTAGATGAGTTTCGTGCTCTAGTTGAAAAAGTATCCAAAACTGGATCCAAATTATATGGTTGCTGCACAATAATCAACGGAATTACAGCTCTTCTGGTAAAAGTATTAATAACAATATCCAGATCCAACGGGTTTGTATTAAATGGGTTCACATTTACCAATTTTATTATACCAATATTTAATATTGAAAATTCAAAAGATATATTATTTTCAAATATTTCGATTCAATCTTGCAAAGCATCAACATTCGATTCATTCTTTTATGTAAAGGATAGTACAGTAGTTTTTAATGAGCTAAACGTTCAGCAAACTTCGATAAATTACACTTCTTTATTTAAGTTCTTCAGATCATCTGTTGCCTTCAATAAAACAAATATGATACAGAACTTTGCATTCCACACCCATGATCAGCCATTTATTTTATGTATTAATTCCAAATTTTCAATTCTTCACTCAAACTTTCTCAGATGCTCAACACAATTCTCTCCATTTATTTCAGCCCAAGATCGCAGCAGAATAAGGCTGTTTAACTCTACTTACGATGAATCTCGCCATTATGGTTTAATTTCTTTGGAAAACGGAAAGTCCCAGGCGATTATAGATAACTGTACATTCAATAAATTCTATGACGCCATTATTTATTCAAACGTTGAACTATCTGAAACAGAAATTTCAGAATCTCTTTTTATTCACAATTTCGGATACGACATGAGCATGATTCGAATAGCCAAAGGCAAAGTATCAGTAAACAAATCATTATTTGTTGATAACAGTGGAGATTCCGTGTTTAATGTTTCAGGTGTCAGTTCTACAATGAATATATGGAATTCCAAGTTCATAAATAATAAGCCTACCAATTATATCATCAGATGCATTGATAATGGAAAGTTTGAAATGAAACAAACAACATTTGAAAGAAATTATTTCGGAAACTACTCAATAAGTTCATCATCATGCATAGGAGATGTCGACAGAGCAACATACATGGATAATACTGGTTCAGTTCTTTATGGTTATGGCGGAAACATCAAATTTACAAATAATTACATTCAATACAGGCAAAAAGATGTCGCAGCACAACAAATCATCTACAAGGAAAGCATTATATTCGATAACCAAGGTACAGATATTGTAATCAGAAATTCAACTAAAAATAATCTTCCTTTCCTTGAGAAATACGTTGAGAAGAACATGTATCCTATAAAGACTCCAGTTCCTCCTCCAATGATGAAGGGAATTCTTCTGATTGAGGACATTTTCGATAAAAAAGAAAAAAAAAAGGAACAAAAGGAAAGGGAAGAGAAACAAAGAAAGAAAGATGAAGAAGAGATGGAAGACTATGTTGAGACTGACCTTCCTCCACATTTAAGAGGTTCTTTTGAAGAATATTTTGCATCTTCTGAAATTCAACCGGAAGTTACCAAGAAATACATTCCAATGGCAGGCAAAATTACTGGATATATAGTTCTCTTTGTAGTTGTTCGTATGCTAATATATTTTGCAATCAAAATTTAATTTTTAATTTTTTATTTCACATTTGAAACATTTCTTGTTTAAAATATTAGTCTAAATGTTGGCGTATTACATTTAATACATTGAATTATCTTTTTTTTTTCAATAAAATTATTAAAGGATGTTAAATTTCCTTTCATTTAAAGTATATGATCTAATTTATGTGTCTATTGATATGATAAGTTTCTTCTTAAGCTTTTCAGAAAGTACTACCCATTATTGATTTGCCTCGAATATGAAAGTTATTTTCCATAAGAACAATTTCTATTCATAATAGCTGACATTTGGAAGGTGAGAGGGTTGAGATTGAATATATCCAGCACAATAATGAGATCTCTAATTCCTGATTAAAAAAAATCGTTATTCATTTATAATGAATTTTATTCGGGAGCTCTCAAGTTTAAAATCAGGAAGGCTAATAAACTCCAATAGTTAATATACTGGTAACGAATGAAAATGATGCATGATGAATACTTTACATGTTTATGATATACACTGCAATTTCGGATTCTCATCATAAAATTGCTTAAATACAACACTAACACTAGTAAAAGTAGAATATACCCAGCAATTTTAAATCGATAATTCTAAGAACGATGGTTATGTTATTGTGATCCATTACTGTTCATATTCATAGAATTTTGGGATATACATATCTATTTACTAAAAACAAACAAAATAAAACAAAAAATTCAAATAATAATATCAGGTTCTTTTTCTCTCTTGTAGAATCTCAAGTTTCCTTGCTTCTTTTCTGGCTGAAATACAGGAAATGCACCATAAGGTCTTGACAAACCATCTGCTGTTGGATAAGCATCATATTTCTGTCTTCCCTTTGGAGCATCTTCATCGTATTCATTATCTTCGTCATCATCATCGCGTATTCCTGCTCTTCTTCTTGCAGAAAGTTGTTCATCTCTTTCATGCATTCTTATCATTTTGCCTGCGTATTCATCAAATTCTTCTCCATCTTTAACTCTTCTTGCACTGTCAACTAATTCTTCTTTCACATTCTTTGTCTTTTCATTCAACTCCATCTTTTGTGCTTCAACAACTGCAAGTTCGCTGATAACTGCCTTCTTCTTTCTTCTGAGAGCCATCATGTCGCTTTTCGCTTTTCCTGCCTTTGCGTAAGTGTTTCTAGAGTTTTTGTCGTTTCCTCTGAGTTCCACTTGCATTTTATGATTCTTGTCTTGCATGTCTCTGAGAAGAATTTGTGCTTCCCAAAGCTGCTGTTCTTTCTTTGAATTCCTGTCTTCATAAGCTGCAATTTTCTTCTTAAGCTCTTTGAGAGAGATATCAGTTCCTGTATACTGTCTCTTTCTATCTTGTTCTGATGGATTCTCAAGTTTAACTGCAAGTTCTTTAACGGATTTTTTGGTATTTTCTAACTCCCATTTGAGTTCTTTGATTTTTTCATCTGCTTCACGAATTTGTGGAACTTTCTTGTATGCAAGTTCAACACTTCTAGCGAAATCATTTAATTGCAAGTTAAGCATTTTAATGTCTTCATCTTTTTCTTTGAGCATTTTTTCTCCATCTTTAAGAATTTCTTCATTCTTTGCAAGTTGTTCTGCAAGAATACATAATGCATCTTGTTTATCAATGAGTAATCTTCTCTTATCCATGCAATCATCAGCATTAAGAGCATATCTTTGCTGTTGATTCATGATTTGAAGTTCCAAACTTTGCAAAATTTTTGCCATTCTTGTTGTTTCTGCAACTTGGAAATCAATTTGTTGCTCGTATTCATTAAAAATCCTGGTTGCTTCATTGAGATCTTCGATTGTATGCTCACGTTTCTTAACAGCATTTGCAAGATCAGCTTTAGTCCTCTTACAATCAATAACAATTTTGTTATATTCATTTGAAAGGACTGTTCCTTCATTTTCAATGATCTTTATCTTTTCTTTAAGTTCTGTGATGAGTTGTGATGAAGTTTGGATGATAGAAATAAATCTATTTCTATCAACTTTCACATTTTCGTATAAATATGCAAGATCTTGTTGTCTAATAGCAAGTTGTTCTGATTTCTTGCATACATCAAGGAAATCAAGTTGTTTTTCTTGAGCTTTGTGCTTAGTTTCTGCAATTTTCCGAATCATTTGGGCATATTCACGAGCTTTTCTATCTTTGATCAAAGCTGTTTCAGATTCTTGTGTATTAAGATCATATTGTTCTTTTGTGAGCCTTTCCAAGTTCAATTGATTTGTATTTCCATCTCTGATTGCTTGGGCAATTTCTTGAGCGAGTTGTTTTGAGATATTCTCTGATTTTATAAGAGATCTCAACATTTCTTGAACTCTTTTGTTGACTTCTTTCAAATCATTTTCAAATTTTGCGGCTTTTTCGGATTCATAGCCTTTCTCTTCATTGATTTTCTTAAGAGAGTACTTCATTGCTTGCATTTCTGTGTTAAGCTTGGAAATAGATTCTTCAAGTGCTAAACAATTTTTTTCTGACGCAAAAATTTTCTTAGTGATGCCATCTACACGCTGTTGGATCTGTGCTTGCGCATATGTTTCTTCACGAATGAGTTTATCAATGTGAAGCCTTTCCATTTTGAGTTGATTTCTTTTATCTGATAATGTTGACATTTTATATCGTATTTCTTCATTTTGGAGCTTAATATCTACAGCTTCATCATGTTCTTTGACTGTACTGTTCTCGGTATTCTCAATTTCTTGATTTTGAGCATCAATTTGTTGATTAATTTGCTCAAGCTTTTCATTTAATGTAGAGTATTCATTGTTAGCTGTTTTTTCTTCAGCAAGTAAAGTTAAATGTTCTTGATTAATTCCATTTGATTGCGTTTTGACACAAGTTGGAAAAATTCCAACTTCTGTAAGTTTTGCATTCGCTTCTATTCTCTTTTGATGTATTTCATCGAGTCTTTCTTTCATTTTTTCAAATCTCTCGGTGTTATCTTTGTTTTCTTTTACTAATGATTGTATTTTTTGTCTAAGTTGAGTAATTGACTTTTGAAGATCATCAATTTCTTGTGTTAACTGTTTTGAAAGTGGATCCATGGTAGATTCTGTTTCTTCTTTCTGCTTTGCTATTTTCGCTTCTAATTTTTCAATTTCATGGTTCTTCATATCAGTATTCTTTACAATTTCGACAGTCTTTTGTTCAATAGAGTCTAATTCTATTTGGATATTTGTTACTAATTGCCTTAATTCACCCATTCGAATTCTATTATCTTGCTGCGTTTCAGCAGAGCTCGAAATTGTTAGCTTTTGATTTTTTAATTGTTTGTTGTATTCACTTGCTTTACGGTATATTGATTGTTCATTATTGCAAGAAAGAACGAAAGCAGAATTTAACTTATTAAAAAGGAAAACATATCTTTTATAAACATCTTCGCTGATCTGTCCTTGATCAAGCAGTTGCTTGAGGCTTATTATTGCGGGATGCGTTGATGTATCCTGCGTTGCCTTCAAGTCACTCATTAATAAACGTACACCTTAAAAAGTGACATAATCTAGAAAAAACGATTTTTCAATAAAATCACATCGAATGTAATGGAAACGCACTCAAATCATTAGCTTTTATTATAATATTACATATCATATGCGCCTAAAGAATTATTGTATGTTTATCTTCACACTATAAATCTCCAAACTTTGTTCAACTCATGCTAATCTGATAATCTGTAATTTTCTCCAAATGGTAGGAAACACCATGGTTTTATGCATACAATGATTTAAGGATGTCGTTTTGTCCCCCAGGGGGAATATTGCGTCCCCCACTTGGGGGACGCTGGGGGACAAAAATTGAGGAACTTTGTTTGATGGAGTCAGAGTATATTTGTAAAGCGTCAAAATAATAATTGATTAATAAAGTTCAAATATTATAATATATTTATTTGACTTTCATTGAGTTTTCATGCGTTTTCAGCGAATTGAAAATTTAAATTTCCTAAAGTTTTTGTTATAGATGCTTTTTAATGGACTATTTTTGTTTTTAATTAATGGGAGTAGATTAATCAATAATAAAATCCGTATCAAAATTCTATCATCAAGCGTCACTTTTTATTCCCCAGTCCCCCACCCATATGCATATTTTTATACAATCATATTTATGTTTTGATAACAATATAATTCAACCCATTAAAATGGAGATGAGGCTAAGATTTTCAAAAATCATTTCTCGATTTTAACTAAAAACCTTTGGTACCCATATAAATGCATGAGACATTAGGAGGTTAGTTGTATTTAACTTATAATTATCCATAATTTTTCTTATTTTTAATTTTTTTTAATCCTTTGGAACAATGATACAAAATCCATCTATTTATGTATATTAGCTATCATAAATAATATTTTGGAACCTAAGAATAAATACTTGTATTCTTTGGCTAACGATTATGACATACATTGATCAAAATCTAAAAACTCAGGGGGTAGATAACGGATTTTTTTTCTGTAAACTAGGGCGGTGATACCTTAAATGATGTAATATTATTGTCACTTTTTTCACAAAAAAGAAACACAACCAAAACTTTTGGAAAGCATGTTAAACTCTGAGCAATCTAAAAATGAAATTGGATGTGATTTTGGTAGCATTAAGCCAACTGAAGTATTTGAATACCCTAATCGAGTATCAAAAATGATTTGGAGTGTCAATTCCAATAATATTTTACAAGTATCTTCGCAAATTATAGAATTCATTACAAACAAAAAAATATCTATCCAAATGTCACTTTATTTGATTGATGTTATTTCACAAATTCGTGTTAAAGATATTAAATTATTATCAGAACTTTACCAAAAGATATTAAACGAATTCTCATGCATCATCAAACCAGAAAATGAGAAATTAGCAATGTTATTATATTGCAAATGCTCCGAATTTGAATATCCAATAGAATCTCCATTATACTATATTTTATGTGATAAAGTTGATGAACTTAAATCTCAATTCCCAAATCTTGATATTAATAAAAGAATTAAAGATATCACACCACTTGACTGCGCAATTAAATACGGATCAGAATTGTGTTTCAATTACTTGAAAAATTTAGGAGCTAAATACACAGATAACTCCGAAAAATATGCTGTTCAAGGCGGAAATAATAGCATTTTTATGCAAATGATAGAAGAAGGTAAATCATTTGGTGACATGATTAATACAGCATTGGATTATAGAAACTATGAAATTGCTGAGTACCTTAAATCAAATTTAGGACAATTTCCTAATTCAATAACCGAATGTATGCATTTCGGAAATTTTGATGTTGCATCTTATTTAATTACTAATGGAGAAGATATTAACAAACTTTATAATCTTTTTATTTTCATTATTATCATTGTTTTATGGCATTCTCTTCCTTTTCATATTTATCGTTGTTTTATGGCATTCTATTTCTTTTCATATTTATAATTGTTTTATTTCATTCTCTTTCTTTTCATATTTATCATTATTGTATACAAATCTCTTTCTTTTCATATCAATTGTTGTTTTATAGAGTTCTCTTTCTTTTTACATTAATCATTGTTTTATGAGGTTCTCTTTCTTTTTATATTAATCATTATTTTATGAAATTTTCTTTCTTTTCATATTTATCATTGTTTTATAGAATTCTTTTTCTATGAATACTTATCAATGTTTTATGAAATTCTCTCAATATTAATGAAAGCCCTCTTAGTATTGCGATCAAAGCGAATTCAATAGAAATCGTCAAATTCTTAACTGAGCATGGTTCTGATGTTAATATGAAACTTATTCTCTTTCGTTTCATATTTATCATTGTTTTCTAGAATTCTATTTCCTTTCGTATTTATCATTGTTTTATTCTATTCTCTTTCTTTTCATATTTATAATTGCTTTATGGCATTCTATTTTTTTTTCATATTAATCGTTGTTTTATTCTATTCTCTTTCTTTTCATATTTATCATTATTGTATGAAATTCTCTTTCTTTTCAGATTTATCATTGTTTTATAGAATTCTCTTTCTTTTCATATTTATCATTATTGTATGAAATTCTCTTTCTTTTCATATTTATCATTATTGTATAGAAATCTCTTTCTTTTCATATTTACCACTTTTTTATTACACTATCTATATTTTCATATTTAACAATTTTTAATACAATTCTCTTTCTTTTCATATTAATCATTGTTTTATATAATTCTTTTTCCTTTCATGTTGATTATTGTTTAATAAAATTTTATTTCTTAACACATTTATCATTGTTTTATCACATTATCCCTATTTTCATATTTATCTTTGCTTTATATAATTCTTTTTCTTTTCATATTTATCATTGTTGTATATAATTCTTTTTTTTTCAAATTTATCAATGCTTTATGAAATTCTCTCAATATTAATGAAAGCCCTCTTAGTATTGCAATCAAAGCAAATTCAATAGAAATTATCCAATTGTTAATTGAACATGGTTCTGATGTTAATATGAAACTTATTCTCTTTCCTTTCATATATATCATTGTTTTATAAAATTCTCTTTTGTTACATATATATCATTGTTTTATATAATTCTTTCTCTTTTCAGATTTATCATTGTTTTATAGAATTCTCTTTCTTTTCATATTTATCATTATTGTATGAAATTCTCTTTCTTTTCATATTTATCATTGATTTATACTATTCTCTTTCTTGTCATATTTATAATTCTTTTATATTGTTCTAATTTTTTTCATATTTATCGTTGTTTTATGGCATTCTATTTCTTTTCATATTTATCATTATTTTATGGCATTCTATTTCTTTTCATATTTATAATTGTTTTATTTCATTCTCTTTCTTTTCATATTTATCATTATTGTATACAAATCTCTTTCTTTTCATATCAATTGTTGTTTTATAGAGTTCTCTTTCTTTTTACATTAATCATTGTTTTATGAGGTTCTCTTTCTTTTTATATTAATCATTATTTTATGAAATTTTCTTTCTTTTCATATTTATCATTGTTTTATAGAATTCTTTTTCTATGAATACTTATCAATGTTTTATGAAATTCTCTCAATATTAATGAAAGCCCTCTTAGTATTGCAATCAAAGCAAATTCAATAGAAATTATCCAATTGTTAATTGAACATGGTTCTGATGTTAATATGAAACTTATTCTCTTTCCTTTCATATATATCATTGTTTTATAAAATTCTCTTTTGTTACATATATATCATTGTTTTATATAATTCTTTCTCTTTTCAGATTTATCATTGTTTTATAGAATTCTCTTTCTTTTCATATTTATCATTATTGTATGAAATTCTCTTTCTTTTCATATTTATCATTGTTTTATTCTATTCTCTTTCTTTTCATATTTATAATTGCTTTATGGCATTCTATTTTTTTTTTCATATTAATCGTTGTTTTATTCTATTCTCTTTCTTTTCATATTTATCATTATTTTATGAAATTCTATTTCTTTTCTAATTAGTCGTTGCTTTATGAAGTTCTCTTTCTTTTCATATTTATAATTGCTTTATGGCATTCTATTTCTTTTCATATTTACCATTGTTTTATTCTATTCTCTTTCTTTTCATATTTATCATTGTTTTATATCATTCTCTTTCTTTTCATATTTATCTTTGTTTTATGGCATTCTCTTCCTTTTCATATTTATCGTTGTTTTATGGCATTCTATTTCTTTTCATATTTATAATTGTTTTATTTCATTCTCTTTCTTTTCATATTTATCATTATTGTAAGTAGTATATGTTGAAGGGTTGTGTGACTTTTTTTGTAAACGTAAGAATTCATACAATATTGAACGATTTTGTATCATTTTTTTTAACATATGAAGTAAAAAATGTATGATTCTTACGGTTTTTATTCTTACGTTTTTGAATAAATCAAGATTTAAAAATTGACTTCTTACGTAAAATTAAAACTAAGTTAAATTTATTTTTTATTTAATGATAAATGAGTATAACAACTAATTCATTGAAATCTTTAAAGTTCACTAATTCAGAATTAGAAAATATTTTAGAAAATTTTGGAGACGGTTCTTATCCAACATATATGCAGAATGTGAAAGAGTTTTCCAGATTGTTGAATGAATTTAAATATAACGGACCAATTACTAAAAAGGCTATAATGAGATATTTATATCCCAAAAAAGTTGAAAAACAGGAGAATATTCCTCTTTATGGTCCAGAGGACCTGGGCTCAGAGAGCCTTGAAACACCTCCTGAATATTTTGAAGAAAAAATTAAACAAGATGAATATTATAACGATGAGATTGAGAAATTGGAACAATTAAGAAATGAAATAGATGAAAGAATTAGTGAATTGAGAAATGCTGAGAATGAAGTAGAGGGTTTAATGAATATCCCAGCTTCAGAATCAGAAGTTCAAAAATCACATGAGGAAAGATATAAAAATTACTTTTTGGAATCTACTAAAAATTTATTAGATGGTGATATTGACGAAACACTTTCAGAAGAAGGCACAAAATTTATTCATAAACATAAGCTTCAGTTTATTGACGATGGAGATTATCCATGTATATTACTTTCACCTCCTCTTGATTCTGAAAAATTCAAAAAAGCACTGAAAAATGTAACATATGCAACAAATACGATTAAGAAAGAAGACCATGATATTTACACAAATTATTATTTAAATAAATGTACAGGTGTTGATAAAGTTTTTGATTTGTTAGATAAAATATCAAAAGAAACAATTGGTACATATAAAATTTTATGCGATTGTGGTTTCATTATTGAAGATACCAATAATGTTTCATATGAAAGAACAGCACCGAAGGAAGACGAAGTTGAAAGGGCTATACCATTCGTTATTAAGAATATAAAAGATATGAAAACGTATAAGCATTATATTTATTCATTTATTTCAGAAAAAATGGAAGCAACCCATAAAACATCATCTCATCATTTTATAGCTATTCATACATTCCTTTTCAAAGTTGTGAAATTAAATAAGACAGGAATTAGATTTAATGTATCCGGGTACGCATTCTTGAGTAAATTAAAATGTATTCGTCACGTCGCAGATGATAAAAATTTATGTGTTCTTAATTCATTTTATGGGCTTTAAAAAATAAACTTTATTTTTATTTATTTTTTAATTTTTTATTCTTACATAAATGAACAAAAACTTCCAGTCTTATTTTATCATTTACAATATCTTTAATCATTTCATTACATGCATTCTTAAAACCATCTGATTTTTCTAATTTACGTCTATCACTTTCTTTAATTAAATCAAAGTTATAACCTTGCTGAGAATAAAGTGGTTTCTTTATCAATTCCTTGAACGCTTCTGAAAGTGAAGATGAAGAAATTCTTGCCACTTGAATTGGTTTAAATTCTGCTTTCATTGCTTCTTTCTGTTCATTGAACACTGGATCGAATAAAGCAACTTTAAAGAATTTCTTAGCTGGAATTTCAGGTCTAATATTTGCATATTGACCATCAAACTGATTAACATATCGTGGTAATCCATCCGGTCCCTCTTCAATAGCATTTAATTCGTCATTGAAATAAGAATATGGATTATGACGGTATGAATTAATTGGACCATTTTCACCTTCTCCAATGTATTGTTTAACAGCTTTTCCATTTTCATCAAATTTCATAGGATAATGTTCATTATATGCTTTACGTTTAGGATAATCAGTTATAGTTAATTTATAACCATTTATGACTTTAATATTTCCTTGACCATCAGTAACAAAGACTTCATTTATTCCATCAGGTTTTCCATTTGGACCTGTAATGTCTGCTTCGTGTGCTTCCCAATTTGGTCCATGACGTTTGGCATATGCTTGAGCTTCTGGTAATGTTAAAACGTTTCTCATTTGTTTAACATCCTTTTGAAGACCGGCAACAATGTGGACTAATTCTTTCATTCCGTCTGGAACTTTCATTGTTCTATTATATGCACCCTTTTTGTTTGTCCCTTGTTTTAATGGAACCTGTAGAAGATTTGCAATTTCTGTCATGTTTAATTATAAATAAAAAATAAAAATTATTTATAAAAAGTTAATCAAATTTAACACTTCCTTTATTTAAATCAACTATTATTTTTCCATGTTCACCTAATTGCTGATATTGTGTGTAAAGTTCATTAATGCTCATTGGTAAATTCACTTGATAAAGCATAACGTTCAACTGTTGACGACTAAACCCACTGAAAATGAAAAGTGTTGATAGATTTGATTTAATGTTTGTGCTTAATGCTTTGAAGTATTGAACAGCCATGAAGAATGAACACTGAATGTGTCGGCATTGAGTTAATAATTGATTAAAATATGATTTCTCATTAGTTATTAGTTTTGATTTCACTGCATCATCTAGAAAAATGAGTGAATGCAAAAATTCTCTATCAAAATTTGAAATAGAAAGTGTTTCAAATAATTCATCCCTTTGTTTATCAATAATTTTATCCTCTAATCCCTGCTTCTTGATTGTATTATATAATTCTTTATACATTAAAAAGTTTTTTAAATAATCTTCTGCTTCTTCTTGTGATAAATAAATAATTGGAATTTTGATTAAATGCTTTAAAGATTCAAATGTATCATCTGAAGGTGAACCTGAACGGTTGATATAAATTAACACATGTGAATAGGGGGAAGTGTTAGCAATAATGATAATTTGTTTTAATATCGTTAATGTTTTACCTTTATTCTGTTTACCAATTGCTGCAGTGATTGAATTTAAGTAACATTCAGAATATGGAATTTTCATTAATTTTTCCTTAGATAGAGCATTTCTATTATCACTCAATGCTTCATTAATCATATCATCTACGTATGTATTATATACTCCCGCTAATTCTTCATAAGGGGTGGATGAATTTAAATCCATTTAATCAAAAATAAATTTATAATTTTAAACATTTCTATTCATCAATATTTCATCATATGAACTTCTATACTGTGGTGGTGTACCTGTTGGATGATATTTCAAACCTTCGTCCGGTGTCCATGTCCAATACGTAGTCCTAGTAAACCAAACCTGAGGAGGATTTGTCACCTTTGAACAGTAAGTGTCATTTTCACCCTGAATGATTGGATAAGCTTTCACTTGTACTGTAACTTGTGAGTTGAAAGTTTCTAATCCATCAAAGAATATACCCGCTCCATCACGTTGAACTGGAATAGTGCATAAGAATGAAGTTTGGTCTTTCCATGTTCTAGCTAATGGCGTGCCATCATCTGCATTCAGTGGTCTAGTTAATGAGTCCTCGTATTCTTCTGTGCATTCATTCACTCCATCTAAATCAGAAGCTTGAAGCATACGTGTAAAGAATATGTCACCCACTGTGGTCATCGCTTGATCGGGGAAGTTTCTGGAATCTATAGTGACCTGAAGACCTCGAAGCATTGGATTTTCTAAAACTGTTCTTTGCATTGCATTCTTCGGAAATGCTAACACAACATCTGTAACATTATGAAGAGCGTATGAGAAATCTGAACTGATACCTTCAGGAGTGATGCAACCTCCATTTAGTGAACGAACGTCAATATGTTGAGCTGGAATCATGAATGGATCTTCCTTACTGAATAAACGTGGTATTGCTTTAACTGATTCTTCAATTAAACCGTATCCTGGTGTAATGCATTTATCCTCTAAAACTTCCATCTTTGTGCATGAAATAATAACGTTATCAACTTTTGCGTCAGCAGATGTAGCGGCTAAGCTTGTAATTAATTTGGCAGAAAGTCCGATTTGTTGGAATTTGCGATCATATTTATAAACATGATTCATAATCTTTTCATAATTTCCATCAGTTATCTTTTCATAAACGTAATTTTGTAAATCAGCAACTCTTAACGGGTCAACCTGACAAAATACTAAAGTATCCCTGAAAGCATAATATTTAAGAATGATTTCACCAAATGATTTAGGATAATCATCGAACGCCTGAAATGCTAACAAATCATTTACCGGAATAATCATATCAAAAGTGACATCAACTTCTTCATTTGCGTTCTTGAAAACTTCTGAAGGGTCAATATATTTACCACATACTGAGTTATCATATTTTTGAACATTATTATATAACGAATGAACAAACTTTTTAACTTTCCTTTCTGATTTTGGTTTATATGTTGCAAATGCGAAAGATTCACGGGCGCAATCCATTTGAAGATAACCGGCATCGCCTCTTTCAGTTTCTACTTCTAATTGTTTAAAGCTTTGATTTGATGATTTGTAACCAACGAATAAACGCATGCATTTAAAAGCGGCATCACATGTGAAAGCTTTATTTGAAACTAGAGTTGCTTTAACTTTGCGTTTAATATATGTGTCACCTAATTGGTTCACATCATGAGCCGGATTTGTAATTCTTAAATGAGTTTGTTTATCATCAAAATATGGAGCATCAGAGTCATAGCATGAACTTTCAAGTTCTCTATAATATCTTCTACCGTCATTCTTTGCGAATATTTCATTTATCTTTTCAAATGAATGAAACACATTTCCATTAATCGGTTTAGTGTTTGGCACCAAATAGTTAGTCGTCATTTATTAATAAATAAAAAATCAAAATTAAAAGATGAAAATGAATTTTTAATTTTAATGAAATAATCAACTATGGCTGCAGGATTCTTTAAGAAATTATGGGATAAAGTAAAAAGAGGAGCGCATAAAGTTTGGGAAACAATGAAGAAAGGAGCAAATTGGATATTTAAGAATAAAGAAGCAATTAGTGACGTTGCTGAATCAATAACGCCAAAAGCCGCCCCAATAAGAGAAATATTAAATAAAGGAGAAAAAGTTTATCAAAGACTACAACCGATACTAAGATAAAAATAATTTATTTTTCCACTATCTACCTCCTATTTTATTAAGTATTCCTTCAGCTATTCCACCAATTGCGTTACCTGCTTGTGCTCCCATCGCTGGATTACCTACTTTAGTACCTAATACTCCACCTATGATAGTTCCTGCCGTTTTCGCTACTGGTGCCAAAAAGTTTGCAACAGGTTTAATAACCTTTTTATAAACCCAACCCGCAGCTTTCTTAATTCCATCCCATAATTTTTTAAAGAATCCTGCCGCCATTTCTGATTTAATATTAATTAAAAAATATATTTCATCACTTATATTCTAATTTTTATTTAATGATAAATGAAACCGATTTTAAAAATAAATGAAACAGAGGAGGAAGAAAGTGAAAATGTTCAACAAAAAATAAACGTTGTTAAACCAATTACTGAAACAAAAATTTTTTCATCTGTTGAAGAATTTAATGACTATTATGCTAATAATAAAAAATTATTTGAAGAATTGACAACATGTAAATTGAATAAAATGTTTAAAGTTGATGGATTCAAAATTTCAAAAATAAAAGGAGTGATTAGTTTGAAATCTATTCCTCAATCAAGAATCACCTCATTAATGAAAATTGATGATTTAACAAAAAGAATAGAAGAGATTGAAGAAAGAATGAATCAAATAATTGATTTCATAAATTCAAATAATCATTAGTTTCTAATTTCTTTTTCTCGTTTATGAGGTCTTTGATTATGACTTCATTGATTCCATTCAGTTATTCAAAAATAATTAATTATCGAATAACCCATGATGTTGTCAAAATGTCATGTTGTCACATTTTTTATTTCATTATGTATGGGTTGAGTGTAAATGTCTTACAATTTTGAAAATTTTTTAAATCTTGATTTATTCAAAAACGTAAGAATAAAAACCGTAAGAATCATACATTTTTTACTTCATATGTTAAAAAAAATGATACAAAATCGTTCAATATTGTATGAATTCTTACGTTTACAAAAAAAGTCACACAACCCTTCAACATATACTACTATTGTATACAAATCTCTTTCTTTTCATATCAATTGTTGTTTTATAAAGTTCTCTTTCTTTTTACATTAATCATTGTTTTATGAGGTTCTCTTTCTTTTTATATTAATCATTATTTTATGAAATTTTCTTTCTTTTCATATTTATCATTGTTTTATAGAATTCTTTTTCTATGAATACTTATCAATGTTTTATGAAATTCTCTCAATATTAATGAAAGCCCTCTTAGTATTGCGATCAAAGCGAATTCAATAGAAATCGTCAAATTCTTAACTGAGCATGGTTCTGATGTTAATATGAAACTTATTCTCTTTCGTTTCATATTTATCATTGATTTATTCTATTCTCTTTCTTTTCATATTTATCATTATTTTATTACATCATTTCTATTTTCAATCTCATATAAGTTCTACAGAAATTTACTTTTTATTCTATGCTGAATCTTTCGAATAATTCCTATGTACTTAAACTTACTGTTAATTGCCGTAAAGCCAGCATTTCGTCGATGTTCCTTTTTAAAACTCAGCAATGGGGTGAAGAACCTATATCTGCGTCTATAGTAAAGGCTCATGACCTCTGGGATTCTGAAGAAATCACAATGATTTATGAGCAATTGAATAATCAAATTGCAGACCATATTAACACTTATAAGTACATATAAATCATTATATAGATATGACATTTTTTTTGAAAATTGAGACAAAAACTCTGAAGTCAAAAAAATTGAGAGAATGACAGAAAGTAAGTGCATACTTTTTGGCATTCTCTCAGTCAAGTCTACCAACGCTTCCAAATACTAATTCTCACATAAAAATCTTCCTAAAAAAACTCTCTAAACACAAAATGAGATTATTATCGACTTATTTTATATAATAAGCCATCCTTACAATGCCGAAACTTATACTTGGCTTTATATAATACAGTTTAAACTCACTTTAAAATCAAAATTATAAATTAATTATTTACATTAAGAAGTGAGCAAACATTATAAACAATTTCATAACTAGTCATTCCAATTCTTCCATCATCTGCAGGGTTCTGTCCCATTACAGCTTTAACACAGCTATAATCCATGATGCTTTCTCTTGTTGTCTTTCCAGACAAATGAATTTCAGAGATATTTGTGAATTTGACAATTTCTTGACAGTTTTTCGCACTTACTCCTGCACCTGCCATTATTGAGATTTTTCCTTCGGAAAGTTCAACAAGTTCTTTAATCATCTCTCTTCCATCGAATGCTGTTTGTGCACAGCCAGATGTTAATACTCTTTCGCATCCAAGCTCGATCAGTTTCTTCAGTGTTTCTTTTGGATTTTTAACTAAATCAAAAGCTCTGTGAAAAGTTACGCCAATTCCAGATGCAGCATCAACTAATTTCTTAGTTGTCTCAATGTCAAGTTCTGCAGATTTGGTTAATGCACCAATAACAACACCTTTTGCGCCAAGTTCTTTGGAAATTTTAATATCATTAATCATCATCTCTACTTCTTCTTCATTGAACAGGAAATCTCCAGCTCTAGGCCTAATCATAACATAGATTGGGATTTTTGATACTTCAACAGCTTTCTTAATTAATGAATAAGGTGGAGTAACTCCGCCTAAAGCTAATGATCCACAGAGTTCAATTCTGCTCGCACCAGCAGATTCTGCGATCTTAACAGATTCAATATTGTCGACACACACTTCAACTTTCATGTTTATGTCACCTTTTTTATGCCTCAGTCATTATCAATCTGTAATAGTCAGCATATCAATGAATTTACTTTATATATTTAATAATAGTAGAAAAAAAAAAAAAAAAAAAAAAAAAAAAGGGTAGTGGGGCTTCCAGGCACTTCGTGCCCTCTAGCCCCGAAGATGTTTAGTATAAATGAAGTCTTGACAAAACATTTACGAAGAAATCTCAACAAAGTCTTTACGAAGAAGTCTTGACAAAACATTTACGAAGAAGTCTTGACAAAACATTTACGAAGAAATCTCAACAAAGTCTTTACGAAGAAGTCTTGACAAAGTCTTTACGAAGAAGTCTTGACAAAGTCTTTACGAAGAAGTCTTGACAAAGTCTTTACGAAGAAGTCTTGACAAAGTCTTTATGAAGAAGTCTTGACAAAACATTTACGAAGAAATCTTGACAAAGTCTTTATGAAGAAGTCTTGACAAAATATTTACGATGAAATCTCAACAAAGTCTTTACGAAGAAATCTTAACAAAACATAGACAAGAAAGTTCATGAGTGTAAATGACCCAAAAATATATTTTAGGGTAGAAGGGTATATCTACCCCGTTTTCTACCCTCATTTCTACCCTCTTGAATTTTCATGAATTTTACACCAAAAATATACTACTAGGGTCATTTACGAAGAAATCTCAACAAAGTCTTTACGAAGAAATCTTAACAAAGTCTTTACGATGAAATCTCAACAAAGTCTTTACGAAGAAGTCTCAACAAAGTCTTTACGAAGAAGTCTCAACAAAGTCTTTACGAAGAAGTCTTGACAAAACATTTACGAAGAAATTCATGAAAATTCAAGAGGGTAGAAAAGAGGTTAGAAAAGAGGTTAGATATACCCTTCTACCCTAAATTATATTTTTGGGTCATTTACACTCATTTACGAAGAAATCTCAACAAAGTCTTTACGAAGAAGTCACAATAAAACATCTGTCAAAAACCGCTTTTTAACTTCACTTAAAATGCCACGTAAGCTACGTAAGAATATACGTAAGAGGAAGAGAGCATTGAAACATCCAATAGTAAAACTGACACCACAACAACAGTTGCAACAACAAATGCTGAATGACCCCACTATGTTGCAACAAATGTCAAGCAATCCTATGCTTTTAAACCGAGTTCTTGGTGCACAGAGTGGAGGTTTAAGAGCGGCACTTTTAGCGAAAATGGCAGGCTATGGTGGAGCTGCAGACGGAACAGCCTATAACCCTCAAAGTCAAATGAATTTGAGTTCACTCAAAAATCAAATAACAGATGTCAAAAAGTCAAACATAGACATACAGAAGCAAATAAGTGAAAACGAAAAGAAACTAGAATATGACAGACACACAAAGAAACTCAATGAGTTAAACGTAGAGAAAAAGAAGAAAGAAGAACAACTGAAAGAACTAAGTACAGAGGAATATGCGAAAAAAGTGTCAGAAAAAGCAGCAGAAGTAGCAAAAATGGAACAAGATGTCATAAATTTGAAAAACCATACTACTCAATATAAAATACTGAAAGATGAAGAGATAAAACAAAAAGCCCTGAAGACATATATGGATAGCGATGAGTATAAAAAAGAAGTTGAAGCAAATGTAAAGGCAGAAAAACTTTTACAGTTGCAAAACCAAACCGTACAGTATGAAAACTTAGCACAAGAAAGTAAAAATAACGACGCGGCTATGCAAAAGGCAATGAAAAGCGCAGAATATATAAAAGCCAACAATGACTGGTTAGATGCCCAAGCCAACGCTAAAGCAGCCCAACTCATAGGGTCAATAAGGACAAAAATACAAGCGGATGAAGATAGTTCAAATGAAGCTTTAACAAATGCTGACTTTAAGAACGCTTTCGAAGCTCTTCATAGTAAGGTGAAACAAGTGAACGACTTCTCATCTGGAAAGAAACTGAAGTCTGAAGGTTTCGACAAAGAGTTAAGAGAAGTAGCACAAAATATGACGAAAATAACAGATGCAGCAACGAGACAGGCAGTTCAAAGTGCCTATGACGCCGTTAGAGCAACTGTTGTGGAAAGTCAAGAAAAAGAGTTACAACAGACCAAAACAGACCTAGTAAATGCTTTCTTAAAAACGAAAAGTCAGGTAGGACATTACGCTGCAGATGGAACATATGTGCCAGCTGGTGGAACTTATATACCACCAAACCCTCCAAGAGAAGCACCTGCACCAGGACTACCTAAAACATTTACATCGTCACATGGACACAGACACAGGCATGCACCAAAACCAACGCAACAACAACAACCAACACAACAACCAGCACAACAACCAACACAACAACCAGCACAGCAACCAACAGTTCAAAACCCTGCACAACAACAACCACAAACAGAGCAAGGACATAAAAGAAGTAGAGAACAAGGAAACCAAGAATTCTTAAAAATGCTTAAAGAAGAGTGTGGTTTCCCAGATACTGTTGACTTTAGTGACAGATATAAAGAAGCTATTAGAAAGTTCAAGGATGGAAATACTGACCCGAACCTATTTAGCTTTATGGCTCAGCACCAAAACGGATATAATCTCAAACCTGGAAAATACAAGCTCGCTAAGGGATATGATTTAATAGCATATCATCCAAATGACATGGATGAATTTACTCCGAGATATTTGATGTCAGAGCTAAATGACAATTCAACTTTCGTCATGAAACGCGTAAAAAATAGAGACGGAACGAAAGAACAAAAGCTTATGAATGCGGATGACGTAGATAGGGAAATTGTTGAAAGGTCTCGGAATATATGAAATGCCAGCAGATGAGGTACAAGAAACTCCACAGGAAGAAGTTCAGATACAACCAGATGGAAGAAATAGTTCAGCAACAACAGCTAGAAGAGCCTGAAGGAACGAACAAGTCACTCCTTTGGAAACTAAACTTCACAGAACTAGATGAAGATTTGGAACAGCCGAAAAATCTTGACCCTCAACAAGAGTATGCGGAGAATATGGAATATTTCCAAGAGTCTAAAAAAAATTCGGCTGACATAGTAGAAGAATATCGAAAAATGTTTGCCGACATAAAAGACTCCAACACCAGATGAAAAATATTCAGCATAGAATGGAAGTACTGAAAGAAAATGTACACAAATAAAACAACCCTTTTTACTTACGAGCATTTAACGTTCAATCTTCGGATGAACTCGGTGAAAATAAAAGGTTAAATTTCAAGAAAACATATAGAAATGAAACATTGTTTAAAGTTCATTCAGAACCTAACCAAGATGGAAACAAACCTACTTTTGTTTCTGCAGACGATGGAACTACAATGAGATGGGTCATAAGCTAATCCAGATAGGTGGTTCATAAACTTACAACCACAATTCCAAGAAGTTGTAGACGCAATGGAAGTCAATGGTGAACGAGATATAGCTGGTATTTTAAGCGCGGCTTTAATGCCATTGAAAGATATGAAAGATGCAGATATTTTGGACCAGTATGAAATGAACATGGCTGATGGAAATATAACACCTGACGTTCTAGAACATTTATCTCAAAGAACTACACAGAACCATAGAGATGGTATATTTGGTGAAGAGTTTAGAAAGAAAGTTAGGGAGGGAGAAGGAAGAGAACCTATTGTACATGACCTTGCAAACGAAAGTTTACAAAATGTCATAAAAACTTACTTTGCAGGCGATGAATCGAGAAGGGATGAATATTTAAGAAAACTCAAATGGACAGTAACCAATGAAATGTTAGTATTGAAAAACATGTTCTTGACAAAATAAAACCAACTACAGAAATAAACGACGCAAGACTGAAAGATTGGGTAAAAGCTTTCCCATTCACAAAAGATATTATTGGTAACATGGAAAGAAAACCAGAATGGCTACAAAACATATATTTGGAAACGAGCAATATTCCATATGGACAGGCACTGTTTGAAGAGCTTGAACCAGAAACTCAGGAAAGAGTCATGCAAACAATACGCGAAGACTCAAATACAGACTATGACAAACTCTTTCTAGGATATAGGTTACCTGAGATGGGCGACCAGAGCCAAAGGCAAAAAGGACATGGGAAATTTGCAACATACTAGATGAACATAATGCAAAGATGCAACAACTTCAAGCAGAGGCAATGAAGGAAAAAGAGAGATTAAAAACTCAGTCAGGAAGAAAGTAAAGCTTGGTCCACGTGGTTTATATATGAATATAAATCCAACTATTCTATATTTTTACTCATATGAAATGTACGCCGCTCAGAATATAACGCCAACAGTTTTGGATGCTATGAATGGAAATGTTTCCGAATGGTATAACGAATGCGACAATGCCATTAGAAGGTCAGAAATAGTTCCTGGAACTTACGAATATACAACTGCTGTTTCTTATGGAAACGTAGGTGAGTTTGGAGAAGGTTCTTCAACAACAGTAGATATTGCTTGCGACAGGTTTCATATTATTTCTATTGACAACTCATTCTTATACGTGGAACAAGACATTGAAATAAAACCTTCTGCCAAGTTGTCTGACAAGAAAGGTTGCAATGGAATTTTCTATGTCGGATACCAATATGCTCCAGAAGTTTTCATGGGATATAAGATATATTCTAACTCTGACTTAGTTCAAACAGTAACATGGGCAAACTATGAATGGTTCGCTTTGAGAAACTCAGTACAACCACAAGCTAGAGAACAAACAGACCAATATGCAACTATTGAGAAAATAAGAAGACTTGACCCTAACGTTCCAGGAGTTTATGTTAACCTTTCTGGACAAACTGCAGCAGCAGTAACCAAAGTAAAACTGAAACTTAGAGTTCCTTTGTCATCTTTCCTCATCTTCAGGTTTTTAAGATACTTGCCAAACTGGGCAGGAAAAAATTTCTATCGAACTTACTCCAAGCAAAAATAACTTAGTCATTGCACCAACGCAAGACCCATTCACTCTTACAGACGTAAAGGGAGCAAATCAAACGTCATTCGCCGAATTTTGCAAAGACAAAGTTGACTTAGACTTTTGGAAACCTCAACACTGAAGTAAACTATTATTTCAATGCTGCTGGAACTGCTTGGGACCCAGTTAAGTTCACATGCGAAAAATTTGAATGCAAGAGAATAGAAAGCAGACTTGCAGTCTATATGTTGGACCCAGATATTTCAAATGCTTTAGCTGCCAAATATATTGCAGTTCCACTTATGTTCCCTATACACCAAATATCTGTCAAAGACTTTGCAGGTGAAGTTGGAAACCAAAGTGCTGACCGCAGGTGCAAGAACAGATATTGCTTTAACAACTGCAATGAAACATGCAGATACTATGTTTGTACTGTTCAGACGAACTATAAATGACTATTCTTGCTTCTACAACCCTGGTATTAAATACCATATAAACATAGATGGCAATACTATCCAAGAGAAGAATATTCTACAGTTGAGGATATGAGGTCATACAACTTGACATTAGATGCTATGAACTTTAACAACAACTTCACAACAACCATTAACCCTGAAATGCAAAGTTCTATTATTGCCATATGTGAAAGTATGGACTCATACAGGAGGTCAAAAAACTCAATATACAAATGGAGGACCGTTTCAAAACTTTTGCTTGGCATTCCATTTGCTGACTCAGAAGACTTTATGGTGGTGGTATTTCAACTGTTGGTACAGTTCAAATACAATATACTGGTGACAGAGACGGTCCAGATGAATTGAAAGCAAAGAAGTTTACAAAACCAATAGCACTTTTCACGGAAGATGCTCTTTTGAAGATTCGTTCGATGAAACCTGCTGGGGCTCCTCAGATTGGTATAACGACAGCTTCCATCGAGCAGATTTTGGCAGCAGGTCAGTAAGTTGTTCTTGAACTGACTTCTCTCGTCAAATATTGACAAGTACGCCAGTTTTGACATAAAATTGTATTATAAACTTACCTTTAGAAATATCTGTAAGTTTTGTTGTTATATTTTTTGTCTGCTCAAGAACTTTCACCATTTCAGTTATACCAACTTTCTTTGCTTTATGAAATATTTTGGTTCAGCAAAGACTGCTATTCTATAACATTTTCCATTGTTTGTATAAAAACTATTCATCTGTATTGTTGTTGTGTGTGTAAACTTTGTTTTGCTTCAATTCGAAGAGATACTCAAATACGTCCATCTTTTTATTCTAAGTAAAATGTCATTTCCGAAAATAGAAGCGTAAGTGTTTCAAAAGGTTTAATGGCGATGGCAGATGTGAAGTTAAATTCACCAACTCAAACAAACAGTCAAAGTGTTGTTGTCAATGTCAAAGAAAGAGATGTTGAAGTGGGGAAACCATACCGAAGACGAAGATGGTAAGCAATTGTTCCTGTAAAAGAACAACCAACATATCCTGGAAGTTAGCAGAGACTTAAGTTCTCTTGCAAGATATTCGAAACGACTACCAACAACTGAAAGACAAACTTCAAACTCAGGAGAAGATTTGTCAAGCTTTAAGTATAATGTTAAACTTGGTCGAACACAACCCTGTAAAAAGTGAACTCATATGTCATTGCACCTCATGAAGTTTTGAAAGAACTATTGAAACTTTTGACAGAGGCAGACGATATAAACATCAAAGAAATAGAACCCGACATTAGTTGCTGTGGTGTTTCATATAATGTCATTGACAAATATACGTTATGAAAGGAGGTGAAACGTTGAACTTAAAATATAGTTTCCCAGACGTCAAAAAATATTTGACGACCACAACATTTCATTAAATTTAGTTGCTAAGTAAATGGCAGAAGACATAGTGGTTTATACTATTACGACTAAAAACCTGAGTCATATAATTCTATAACAACAAACTTACAAAGTCCTCAAGGACGATATTGTAAACTGACCTTAAACACGATGACGACTAAAGCCTGTTTTGCTCTTTTGACACCAGAAGACTTTGTTGTTGTGAATGGTAAAAAATACTTCTTTGAAGATACTTACTCAGATATACCACCAACAGGTTTTGTTGACTTATTTAATACTTTAAGGACGGATGTAACATGTGCTGCAACTAGAGCAGGTTTCATTATGTTTGGATGTCCGACTGAGTTTAGTATAAACGATATGAGCTATAATACAAAACTTATATCTGGTTTTTACTACCAACAGTTTCCTATAACAGGAAAAGGTGTCATACAAGGTTTGTCTGTTCCATTGACTTTAAGTACACCTATTTTATATATTGTTTCAAACTTAGGTTCAAAGTGCTATTCGAATGTCGACAGAAACTACTATGACCAAAAGATACTCATGCGTATAAACAACACTTTCTCTGCTGGTTTGCCTATTGTTCATTCGAATGCAGAGTTTTCAGCTTTAGTAAACTCAAACACTTTAGCAAACATAAACTTAACCTTAGTTGACGCAAACTTTGTTCCTGTAAACTTTTATGTCCTATGTATTTGTCAATGACGGCAGAAAGTTTCGAATTGGAAGATGCAACTGGTGAAAGTATTGTACTACAAGAACAACTTCAACAACAAATAGCTCAAGAACAACAAATGCAACAAATGGAACAAATGCAACAACAAAGTCAAGAATAAAAAAAATATTTTTTTTTATTTTTATAAAAATGTACAGAATAGATGTTTCAGATTTTTATGACTTCCAAGCATTCAGAAATATGTGTCCATTTCGAGACTATAACAAAGCAGTCGAGAATTTGAAACGTTTAGTCATTTATGTTGACTCTGCCCCAGAATGTTATGTCATGAAAGAATGGGATGTTGTCTTTAACAAACCAAGAGCAACAATAGTTTCAGAACAAGAATGTAGACAGAAACTTAAGAAAATAAAAGTTGTACAAGTTGGAATGAAGATGTTAGATGCTTGGGATATCTTATTGTCAAAGTTAGAAGATTTTTCAGTTCGGTATAAAGTTCTATACACCTTCTCCAAACTTCTTCTATCTTCACTGGATATAAATACGAACAAGTAGAATGGAAAGAAAATGTTATAGAAGCTTGGTTAGACCATGTCAAAGAAATTATATGCAATGGAAACGAAAGAGTCTATGAGTATATCTTATGTTGGTTTGCAAACATCTTACAACATCCAAGTGCTAAAAATGAAACTGCTCTCATTATAATTGGAAAACAAGGAACAGGTAAGAACACTTTCTTTACAGATATCTTATGCAAACTGTTAGAGGGCTATTCGAACCCTAATATGACAAACTTAGAAAACATCTGCGGTAAATTTAACTCTTCAATAGAGAATATGAAACTTATAGTATGTAACGAACTTCAAAGTATAGATACAACAAAGGTTTTAAACTCAGATGCTTTGAAGAGTCTTATAACAGACAAAGTTGGAGTTGTTGAAAGAAAATATAAAGACCAAAGAGTTTGTGAAAATGTTGCAAATTTCATCATGGTTTCAAACAACGCCGTTCCGATGAAGTTAGAAAGTTCTGACAGAAGATATGTAGTTGTCAGAACGTCAGAAGCTCATATGCAAGATACAGAATATTTTGACGACTTAGCAGAAACTTTGACACCTAACTTTTACAACCACTTGTTCTCATATTTCATGACATTAGATATTTCAAAGTTCAATCCAAGACAAATTCCACATACCGAAGAGAGACAAACATTGTTAGAAGCAAACAAGAGTGTTTATGAACTGTTCATAGATGAAACTGACTTTGAGTGTTTAGATGAAAGGTCATTGTACGATTCATATAAACAATATTGTCAAGAGTATGGTTATATGGCAGCTTCTAAACGTACATTCTTGGCAAATGTCAAAAATCTTTTAGATGTTCAGAACGGCGTATATACAAAGAAAAATTTTTCTGAGTAAATTTTAAAAAAAAAATATTTTTTTATCCGATAGAAAAGATGATGAAATTCATCTCAGTCAACAAGTACATGTCAGGACTTAAAGAAGAACTAGACCCATTCATATATTTGAATGTTTACTTCTACCATTTTGAAAAGTCTTCATTCAGCAAAGTTTGGAACATCGAACCAGTTAAGTTTGCTATTGTGACTAAAAATGGTGCGAAATTTGAAGACTTAGACATAGAAGGTTTGTTAGCAGTCAAAGAAAATTTTGACAGAAGGTTTTCAAACCTTAAAGAAGGCAAAGCATACAAACTTGTTATACCTTATGAACCAAAGAAAGCAGACGACTATGAATATTATGAGTCTAAGATAGTTGAAGTTCAAGGTAAATTGGGTAAAAAGATTTTAGAGTCTAAGCCAGTGTTTGCTCCTAAAGAGGAAGAGAACATTGACATTGACCCAGAAATGTTCTAAAAATAAAATTTTATTTTTACATGTCAAATTTCTTTTTCTCTGGCTCTGGCTCTGGCTCTTTCTTCTCTTCTTCTACTTTCTTTTCTTTCTTCTCTCTCTTCTTCTTCTTCTCTGGTGGAGTTATGTCAAACTTCTCAGAACCATATTTTTGTAAAAGTTCTTTGTCCTTTAATAGCTCTTCTATTCTGTTTCCTATTTCATCTTCAAGAACAGCGCATGTGTCTTCTTTGCATTCTAAGAACTTTTGTTGGACTTCATCTTTCCAATCGGCGTCATCTCTGTCAACAAGTCTGTCATTGACAAACTTAAAGACTTCTCTGCCTAATGTTTTATGGTTCTTGTCATATTCCCAGAAACAGAACTTTAGAACAAATTCACCTTTCTTGTTTACACTATGTAAGATTTTATGGTCGACAGAAGTTTTAGAGTCAAAAAGCTTGTCTCGAATATAGATAGCGAAATCGCTAGACATTTTCAAAAAGATAAAAATTTTAATTTTTCTAAAAATATGTTAGAAAAAAAGTTTGCTGACATTGACAAGAAATTTGAGAATGTTTTAAACAAGAACAAGAGGAAGTTGGAAAATGCTCAGATAAAACCCATACATGACAAGTTCTTATTTGCTCAGAATGGTATAACAGGTCTAATCGCACCGCCTGGGTCGGGTAAGACTTTCACTTATCTTAAAATGGCTGCACAACAACAAGAACTAGATGAGAAGAACCCATTCTATGAGTTAGTAGTCATTTGTAGTACTTCTGGTCAATTTGACCAAACCGTCAATTCGTTCAAAGATATTATAAAAAAGTCTAAGTTAGTATGTATAAAAGACTCTGAGTTGTTAGATTGGATAAAGAAGTACCAAAGAAGAGTTTTGAAGTACAATGCTATAAATGAGTATATAAACTCGAAGTTTAAAGACCCAAATGAGGAAATGCAGAGAATATTAGAGAAGAAACACTTCAGAAACAAACAGAAAGAGATAGAATACATTTCGAAGAAATTGCAATCTTACGATTGGAAGACTTACCCTCACAGATGTCTTCTTATCTTAGATGATTTCGCCTCTCATCCTTTGTTAAAGAACAGAGAACAAGATATGTGTCGAATTCTTAAGAAGCTCAGACACTTTAACATCTCAGTTGTCATTTGTGTACAGACAGCAAAGAGTTTAAGTAAGGATGTTAAAAGAATACTTACTGATATCATACTTTTCCCTGGATTGTCCGAAGACGATTTCATGGAACTTATGAAAGAGTCCATGGCAGGTAAGTTTGACAGACATGAACTATGGGAGAAGTACAAAGTCATACAAGACCCTCATACTTCTTTCAGAATTCACATCTACGCGAACAAAGTTCAAATTGTAAAAAGTCAAGCTTGAAAAATAAAGAGTTTAGTCTTAGTAAGTCTGCTGTGGTGCTGGGGCTGTCGGTTCTTCTGGCTTTGGAATGGACTCGGTTGGTGGTACGTCGGACATTCGTTTGTGTCCTGTCGGAAGGAAAAACTTTTTCTGTCGGAAGGAAAAACTTTTTCTGTCGGAAGGAAAAACTTTTTCTGAAGTTCGACCAAAAAGTTCTCAATTTTCGAAAATTTGAATGGTTTACGGACGGACAACAGAAAAAATTTTTCCTGTTGGAAGGAAGGACTCTTCCTGTTGGAAGGAAGGACTCGGAATGCCAGAAGGAAGGACTCGGAATGCCAGAAGGAAGGACTCGGAATGCCAGATGGAAGGACTCGGAATGCCAGAAGGATTTGACAAGACAATTTACCTTATAGAGCTACCTGAGCCATCTGAAGTCAAGCTTGAAAAATAAATGGTTCATTTACTCTGCTTGTTTGAAGTTGTCAAAATACTCTGTTATCTTTTCTTTCAGTAGCGGCAAATCTTCTTTGAATGTAAGTATTGTACAACCTTTCATATCATAGTGTGTTTGAGGTAACGTATCTTGAACTATTTGTTTCACATCTTCATTCGGGGTCATTGAAATCGGTAAGTTTTCGCGATAGAACCAATTTCTGTCAGATTTGTAAATCTTAGCAAGGTCGTAAAAGCTTTTGTTGTTTCTTCTGACTAAATGCAACATAACCATATCTCTGTCTTCTTCATTTTCCATCTCTTCAGTATAAATCATATACTTATAGTTCTTTTCCTTTCCTTTTGGTACCGAACGTGGTATTCTTTTCTGTATGGTTTTGTCTTTTGCTTCAATGACTTCATCTTTTGCTTGAAGTTTCTTTTCCATCTCTTCACGTTCTTGTCTATGAATTTCGTCAAGAAGTTTACAAACATACCATGAATAACGAGGCGAAGCCCACATTGCAACAGCATTTACAAGAAGTCTATGTACATAATATCCTCTCAAACCATTTGGCAATTTTTCACGATTTTCATGAGTTTTAGGCGACTGGGTTTTCTTACCTACTCGCTGTTCTTCACTGTTTTCAGAAAAAAGTATGTCTCGCTGTGCTTCGCTCAAAAGTTCTTGTGTGCTTTGGTTCCTAAACCAGTCTTTAGGAAGCTTAGTATCTGGAGCAAAACATGCTGTCAAAATACTTTGCATTTGGTACATGTCATCTTTGACCGAACGAATGAGACGGAGTTGTTTGTTAAACTGAACCCACTCGTATTCTTCATTTATAGCTTCATGAACGATAGCAGTTGTTGTGTTCTCTGTTGTTGACATTACTGTTTCTTATATACAGGATAAAAAAATAAATAAAAATAAAACTAACTTTATTTTTTCTATCTTAAGGAAATTTCATGAAATTTGGTCATTTTTCAGCAAAAATATATTTTAGGGTAGAAGGGTATATCTACCCCGTTTTCTACCCTCATTTCTACCCCATATGTCCTTACTGAAAAAGTATGTGTTCCATATGTCATTTTACTCAGAATTTTACTCAGAATTCAATAAAAATATATTTTAGGGTAGAAGGGTATATCTACCCCGTTTTCTACCCTCTTTTCTACCCCAGTTATTTTATAAGCGTTTTACATGGTAAACATTGTGAATTCGTGAAATTCTAAACAGTTTTGTAGCTTCTATTTCTTCACGAAGGATATCGAATGTTTTCACAATGCCGAAAGTTTCTTTATATTTCTTCTTGACGTCAGATAGAAGGAAATCGTCAGCAGTTGGATAGTTTTTGTTCAGAAATTCTAACATGTCCATTTTATCTTCTGCTGGTTTCTCTACTTCTTTCTTTAAGTCAGCATAGTCGTTTCGCATACGTTCTATCTCTTTGACGGAGTAGTTATATTTCCTCATTGCTGCTTTACATTTAGAACATTGTGGGTTCATTTTTGCGTTATATTCTGAAACCTTACCTGCTAGTATGACTAAGGCGTCAATTGCTCTCTTTAACTCAAAAGTTGCGGGTTTTATCTGTTCATTCCATATCTTACCTCTTCTATCTTTATCTCTTATTTCCCAAACACATTTTGCAACTAACGAAACAAAGTTGTCGTAGGTCTTAAACTCCCCAGATTTATATATGTCAGAGATGTTCTTATATACCATATCGCAATCTTTGTCCATGACTTTGTGGTTGCAATGAAATCCAAGAAACTCATAGTTAACCTTTCGTATGAACTTCTTTATTTCTACTGAGTCAGTTGCTTTGACTTCTATTTCATCGAATTCTGGAATAGTGAGTTTTTGTTGTTGGATTTCAGGCAATTTGGGTAAATGGTCAATAATATCCTGCATTTCATAAAGATACTGTTCATTTGTTTCATCTTTCGCACTACAGTCTAAATTACTTGTTAAAAGTTCTTGCTTTATCTTCTGGATTTCTGTCTCAAAAGTATATGAAGAAGGAATGAAGCTTTTCATTTCTACTAACATTGAAGTTGGGTTCATGACTAACGAGTTTGGTGCTGTTGTTGCTAACATGTTCTTACAATAAAAATAAAAAAATATTTTTTTAAAAAAACCAACTTTATTTCTATCTTAAGGAAATTCATGAAAATTCAAGAGGGTAGAAAAGAGGGTAGAAAACGGGGTAGATATACCCTTCTACCCTAAAATATATTTTTGCTGAATTCATGAGTTTTGGTTGAAAGAATACGGTGGAGCCAAAAGTGGCTCGACCTCAAAACAAGCATTTTCTGTATAAAATTCATGAAAATTCAAGAGGGTAGAAAAGAGGGTAGAAAACGGGGTAGATATACCCTTCTACCCTAAAATATATTTTTGTCGAAAAAAAATGGTTCATTTACTCACAATATTTTTGTACAAAACGACCCCAAACTTTTAACTTCTTTTCTGCAGCTTCTAATGCTATCTTAGCGAGTTCATATTCTCTAAATTCTCTCTTTAAATCTTCTTGTTCCCATTGGTCTAGTTCGTATGGAGAATCTCTATAACCAGAACATATCTCACGTTCATGTTCTATTTGTTTTTCATGCATTTTTCTAACTTCTTCTTCAAACAAAGGTTTTGCATTCTCTACTGTATCTTCAAGTTCTTCTTCATCTAACTTCTCATGAACTTTCTTGTCTATGGAGTCCATAATTTTTCCAACTGCTATACAATATTTTGGAGAAGCCCACATTGCTATATAGTTTACAAGTCTTGGGTCTACATACATTCCTCTAACCTGTTTGATTTCATCAGGAATTCCTGCATGAATTTTGTATAAAAAGCAACCCGCTTTTTTCCGCGGGTTGGTATATTCTTCACAAAATGCCTTAAAATACTCTTCCCAGGACTTATTTTCCAACAACCTTCTAAAGTCCTTCCTAAACTGCTGACACATATTTGTTGCGTTAATATAACCATCCATGTCTCTACGTAAGACTTCAATACCGTTGTAAGTGCCTTTTGTGAATGTTTCGCCATTAGATTTGTTCGTGAACGTTTTTGCTTCGACTGTCATTTCAGTTCTTACAATAAAAATAAAAAATATTTTTTGGTGGGACGTCGGACATCCGTTTGTGTCCTGTCGGAAGGAAGAACTTTTCCTGTCGGACATCCGTTTGTGTCCTGTCGGAAGGAAGAACTTTTTCTGTCGGAAGGAAGAACTTTTCCTGAAGTTCGACAGGAAAAGTTCTCAATTTTCGAAAATTTGAATGGTTTACGGACGGACAACTGGAAGAACTTTTCCTGTCGGAAGGAAGAACTTTTCCTGTCGGAAGGAAGAACTTTTCCTGTCTGATGGAAGGACTTTTCCTGTCTGATGGAAGAACTTTTCCTGTCAGTAGCAGTACTGCTAGTAGCAGAGATTTTTATCGTCCAACTTTACAAATGTAAACTCCTATCGTTCTATTTTCTTCACTAGGGTCTAACACCAAAGTAACCTTACAAATGTAAACTTATATCGTTCTATTTTCTTCACTAGGGTCTAACACCAAAGTAACCTATGTACATGAAATTTCACTGCATAAAAGGAAAAAACCTGCGCGAATCGGGATTTGAACCGAGGTCTTCGACGTCTGTAGCGAGGTAGCCCATACCACTGAGCTATGAGCCGCTTGCATATTTTTAAGTAAAATATAGTATATTTGTCATACAGTGAAGGATGACCAAACTTAAAAAAAATAAAACTAAAATATATTTTTTTCTATCTTAAGGAAATTCATGAAAATTCAAGAGGGTAGAAAAGAGGGTAGAAAACGGGGTAGATATACCCTTCTACCCTAAAATATATTTTTCAATACTTTTTCAGCACTTCTCCGTAGTTATATATGAAAGACAATTCGAGATAAAAGTCGTAGTACAATGGAACAATATGCTGCACACCGTTTGTTGTGAACCAGACTTGAAAGTCAGAGAAACTGTTACTAGGTGGTTCGTAGAATTTAGAAGCAAAGTCATAAAAGTCCTTACCAATACAAAGAAAACTATTGTTGCTTGAACTGAAACTTGCATGACACATGACATTTTGAGGGTCAAACACGTTTCTATAAACTGTCAAATCTGTTGGTGGGCGTATAAACCAGAACGGACCGTCAGGTGGTAATGGTTCGTTCTGGTTTAGTAACCGAAGAAATTGTGCCCAAGAACGTTTGTCTACTTGCCAAAATAAAAACTGTGTATCTCTTGGAGGGTTATTTTCAATCCTTTGAAATGAAACTGTGGAGTTCATCTTGTCATATTCTAGTTTCAGATAGTATGTTCCATTTAGTAAAGAATCGTATTTTTCTTGAAATTCCCAGTAGTATTTGTTTATTTGAGTTTGAAAGTCATTTAGAGTCTTCTCAAGACTTTCGTCTGAACGAACTGTAAAGATTCTCATTTCATCAAATTTGTCTATTAGACCATCAGAACCTCTATACTGCCCATGAAAATATACTGCGAACATAAATGCGTTCGTTCTTTTTGAAAACAAAACTCTTCTAAATCCTATTGCCTTTGCATCTGAAGGACTTTGAAGCCAACGAATTGGAAAGTCAAAGCGGTAGGAGCCGGATGAAATTTCTTCATCTGATATAGTCCTACCAGCGTTTGTAAAGATATAGTCTAACGGTTTTGTATCTGCTACTTTTGTTCTTTGTTTTTCAACCTGAAACATTTAATATATGTAAAAATATACTGTTTTAAAAAATGTTTTAAAATGGTATGCAATGTTTTATTTCATGCAATGTTTTATTTCTGTGCCGTCTTCAAGCACACCCCAGTACTTACGCTTGGATATTACATGAACTTCGGAAAATACCTTGTCTAGCTTAAAAAGGCCCATTTTCTCACCGACTAAACCCATTTCAATGAGTTTGTTATAGCCTTCCTCGTTCGTCATGAGTGCGTCAATGTTCTCATAGTATACCTTCACTTTGGATTTAACCTCTGAGAAAAATTTGTTGTAGTTGTCAAGGACTGCCTTTGCGAACTGAGGATAAGACCAATGTTCGACAATAGGTTTTACTGTGGTTACTAAGCCACCTTGACCTTGAGTAAATTCGTACTTTAAAACAAAAGGAGAAAACCTTTCAACAAAGTTGTCGACCTTCTCATAGTGTTTACTCTTCATCTTTTGAGGTTTTTTAATAGAATATCCCCATGTCGAGTTCATAAGCAATTTGATTGTCATTGCAAGTTTGGGATTTGAAGCTTTCCTAATATCATACAGTTGTTGTATGACTTTTCCAACTGTATAGTTCCTTCCCGGGAACTCACCATCTTCGTTTGGAATTCCAGTCGGGATATATTGGACGAACCTCATGTACGCAGCGTTAAGGTCGACATAGTATATTTTTTCGTATGAGTCGAACTTATCGCATCCAATCGGACCAGTTTTTGGAAATTCAAGCGAGTCTCTTATCTTCTGAGAAACCTCGCCTGTTATCTCATAAACATCGTCAAAGCAACCTGTTTCATATAAAACCTTCTGACCTAACTCTGATGCTCTCCAATACAATTTGACGTCAATTGGATGTCTCAATGGAAGTTTGTTTATAGCATCTTGAAGTTCTTGCAACCTCATTGGAAGTTCTTCTGGTTCAGGTTGGTATCCGAACAATCCAACTCCTTTTGGAACTGTGTACTTCTTTTGTGCTATAACTTTGTCTGGAACAACTTTTGGTCTTGCTAACAGTGAAAAGTTTGTTTCGTCTTTTGGTACAAAAGTTTCTGTCAGCTTGTCATCTGGAATTGGTTCCAACAAACCTTTCTCGAAAAGAATGTTAACAGCTCTGACAATGTTGCACTTGCCTTTTCCGAACATAAGACTTTCGTTCAACATG